GGATTGCTGAAGAGTCAATGAGTCGATGCAATCAGCTGGTTTTCCTTAGATAGAAAACTTTGAATCAATCTGACTGGATGATTTGGTGAACTGTACAGCTGTAATTTCTAACATTTCCACGGTTTCTGTGAATAATGAGGAAGATGTGAGACGATCAGGGAAAGATTTTGATCCGCAGATCTTTTCTTTAGACCAGTTAGGATCCCGAGCCAGAAAGAAATGGTGCTGAGGAACTACAGTCGGTTTAAAACAAGCTCAGAAACACAAAGACAACAAATAAACTTAATGTTCAGAGGAAAAACACAAAAGGCAGCAATAAAGAGCCATAATATGTCAGCAAAGACTCTGAGAACCATCAGCCCCCAGAAGGACGTCAGACAGATTGAACCCTAATCTGCTGGTCAGTCACCTCCAGGGGGCTGTAGCTGTAGTGCGGCTGGTAGATCATCAGGTCGGGTCTCTCGATGTCCAAGATGGCCTTGTCCCTGGGCAGTGCCGCCAGGTCCTTGTAGCCGATGACGCCGTCCTCTACCCTGGCCTGCAGGGACAGACGGGGGACGGGTCAGAGAGGACAGAGGATGGACTGATCTGAAGGTCGACTGAGTTCATCTTAACTCACCACGATGGCAGCAGCAGGAGAGCCAGGAACGCTGGTCCCCCTGAGCGACAAGACGCTCCCTGGAGACGTCTGAGCCGGCTGCTGCTCCGCGTCGCACACAGAGACAGGAACACGGTTAGAGGTCAGTTTCACCGACAGAAGCACGGAGCTTCGTGGTTAACACCTTAAACCCGGCGGGCCCGGTACAGGACCCAGCTGACACCTGCTGATGTTTATCTATTTATAGAAATGGGCCAAACACAGTCACATGGTGTTTCATCCACACGCCTTTCAAACGGGGCTTTAAAATTTCTAAAACATGTTTCAAAATTATTTTTTCACAAGTATTTTTTTTATATAGTTGTGTAAACACCACCTGACATGTGTGACTCTGCGGGGGTAATGCAACAGCAGGTATTCGTTTTTAGCCCCGCCCCCTAATGGGAAGTAGAGGCTCAGACCTTTCCAAGGAGGGGTCAGAGGTCATTGTGCGACCATTTCAGGTGATGTAACCGGCATGCGTTACATAAGCTGCTCTGTTATTCTTATTTTCTGTCCAGTTTGGTGATTTTATTGGTAAATTTAAATGAAATAACGACTAAATCTCAGGAGCAAAGGCTTTGCCTTATGGAGAAGGTCTCCAACAATGGAAATCAGGATATTTGTCTGACCAGATTCCCTTTTATGGGGGGGTTCTGGTCATCCACAACAGATCAAACAGAACTAGCCGCGTTGGAGCGGTGTTCTGTCAGATGAGCATACCCCGTCAGACCAGCATACCCATAGTCATTACCTGTTTTACTCTTTAGTTTATCCCTTTAGTTTTTTTATGAAAAATAGACTTTAAACTACCTCAACAGGTGAGTATCCCTTTAGTCATGCACAAAAAAAAAAAAAAAAATACTTACTTCTTGGTTTTTTTTTAAGCGTGCAGCGATCTGACCTTGAATAGTTTTGTTTGTACATGACTAAAGGGAAACACGCCTGTGGAACCTCTCAACATCCTCCTCATTTTGGGAAATTCTCGCCTATTTTTCACACCCAAATGGAAAAGCAAATAACTGAGGAACTTTAAGCCCAAATTACGTGTGTGGTACAATATTTGAAAGCTAACACCTTCTACTTTCTGAATATATAAATAAATATAGGGTGAGTAAAACACAGTCTAAGCTGCATCAGTTCAAACAGACTCAAAGTTGTTTTTTTTATTCTTGAAAATAATAGGTCATTTTTGAACGGCAGTAATAAAGACATTCTTGCTTGTTGTGGCTCTTTGACATGTTTACATTTTGACCTGCTGTTGTTTCTGTTTAATTGTGCTTTGGTGCTCGCTGTGTCCATAAAATGAACTTAGCTGTTGATTTGTGGAGAATCTAGCTTTCCAACGTTGTCTAACGTGACTATTTTGGTAAACATTTTACCCCTGGAATTTTCATGCATTCTGAGTTATTAGTTGAAAAGGCTTTAAAACGGGTCACCGGTGATCCAATGGGTTTTGAGAGGTTAAAGTCTATTTTTTGTACAAAACTAAGGGATAAACGCAACTCTGATGTGTTCCACATGCTATTGACTATAGGTATGCTAGTGTGACAGAGCAGCGGCCCCGTCACCAGGAGGCACAGGCTGATGCTCCGGTACTGATGCTGGGACCCACGTGAAGAAGCAGGTCCTCATGTTTCTCTGATGCTTTGACCCGACTGAGTTCTGGAGGATCTAATAGACTAGTATTTGAGTCACTTCTGCGTGTCGCAGATATTTTTGATTTCTGCCCAATATTGAAGCGTGGCCTGCGCTATGTTATTCCACGCCACAACGCAAGAGGGCCAATCAGGAATTAGCTGTGGGTCTAGATACGGCGGTGAGGAAGTGGGGGCAAGTTTGTGTGCAATGGAGGGACATGAGGGCCAAAATAAGCGGGGATCCGGGTGGAAAAAGGGTCCCAGCGTTCTCACGCACCTCGCTCTGCTAGCTGCTCCATCTTCACCAGTCGTTTTCCACAATGGCGGTCAGACAAACAAAACAAGCCGGTAAGAAACCAACCAGGAAATACGCATAGAGTAGAGTGGATGTAGATTTGACCAATCAGAGGCCTCCTGTCTGCGGTTTCTGAGCAAACAGCCTAAACACTGCTCCAGTTCTAAGGTTAGAAGATGTTTTTTTTGTATGGAGATTGTTGATCCAGCTGGTTCTGATCTGGGTTCCTGTTAAGCCCCTCCCCCATTTGAAGGAACAGGAAGAGACTCACCTTTGGCATCATCATGCCTGCTGGTTGGTCAGATCCTGAGGGAGACACAGGTGAGACAGGAAGTTAAAACCATGCAGGTAAAATACAGAGAGATAATTGTGAACAAGTGCACAGCAGACTGATGGGAGAGCAGCAGAACCGGGTCCACAGGGGCACAGAGGGAAGGTAGCATAGTTTAGCATGGGGGGGGGGGCATGAAGACTGGCTCCTTCTGGGGGAAACTGGCTTAAACCTGAACCTCCTGAAGCTCAACCAGAGGAAGTTGGTGAATAAGGTCTATAAAGGCGAGTTGGTGCTGAGCTCTGCTGTCCCCTGATTCCAGCATCTGCATTCATGTGACCTGAGGACTCGGCTCTGGTCAGATGACTTGTTTGGATGAGAGCAGAACTCCCATCATGCTCGGCTGCAGCTGCAGCTTCACGGCCGCCGGCGCTTCATTGTGCGACACGTCCAATAGACACAAAGGGACGGTTCCAGAGTGCACGGCTTTGTGGGGCTAAAACAGGCGGAGGAGCGGGAAGCTGCGTTCAGGAACACCAGCTGAGTGTTTTTACCTCACAGAGAAAAGGTGGATCATCTCTGGATGGGTTTGTTTTCTGGGCTCGTCTGCCCAATCAGCTCCTAAAAAAAACACACAGAGACTCATGAACAAGAGGAAACCCAGAGAACATCAGCTTCAAGCACAAAAATCCAGCAATTTTAAATGTTTGTAATAAATACATGATTATTACACATAGTGCTGCAAAACCACACAAAACACAGACAGCAGCTATTTAAAACTAATCACAAACACACAAACACACTAAAAAGTGATAAAGTTAACCCCAAAAGTGCAAATCTTTAATATAAAAAAGGAAATTATTCTAAAATAGGCAAAACTTTATAATATAAAATACGCTAAGGAGTCTTTATTACATGAATACTGTAAAAATAAAACAGATAAATATGCATCAGTTTCTATCTGTAACATTTAGCTTTCTCTTAATGCTGACAAAACAAAGTTAATGTTTTTAAAGCATAAGAACGGGATTCAAACCCTTCCAGCAGTGTCCACTCTGGAGGGAAAGTCATTGAGGTGGAACACGAATATTAATACCTTGGAACTGGAATTGACTCCTTCACCTTTAAACCTTTTATTGATAAACTTGTGAATAAACTAAAAATTAAACCGGGCTTCTTCTTTTGTAATAAAACATGTTTTTCTTTCTGAGTAAAAAAAGCGCCGTGCCTCTGCCTCGTTTTTATCCTTCTTAGATTATGGTGACCTTTATTATAAGAATGCTGCTTCTTCATGTCTTCAAATGTTGGACTCTGTTTACCATGCTTCATTAAAGGTGCAGTAGATCTTCTCTGACCCATTTTTTACCGTGTGGCTTAAAGATCTTCCCTCGGTCGCTTAGTAAGCAGTGAAATAGAAGATCTGGAAGTGAAACTAAAATAAATGGTGAGAAATCAATGAATAACTCAAACCAATCACAAAAGACGGGATGTTGTACACGATTGGTTCCTGAACGAATCCACCCCCCAATGATTGTGCAGGACGCCATGGTTGGAAGCTAGCCACCGCTATGCTACGTTCACACCAAGAGCAGCAGGAGCAGCTAAAACACGCGTGCTGCCTCCTTTTAGATGTTTGTACCAGTTTAGTTCTGATGCGCAGCTGAAGCATCTTGGGGTCTGATGCGTGGTGGGCGGAGCTACTCTCTCCTTTCTCTGCCTGGAACAATGGCAGCTATAGCTGTGATCAGCGGGTAAAAAGTAGTTAGAATCTATGTTGAAGTGAGAAAGTCCTCCTTAAAACAT